TGCATAAATGCCTAGTAGTGCTATTGCTGGGTCGTAGGGTAGTTCTATTTTTAGTTTTTTGAGGAACCTTCATACTGTTTTCCAGAGTGGCTGCACCAGCTTGCATTTCCACCAACAATGCAAAAGAGATGCTCTTTCTCTGCATCCTCGCCAACATCTATTGTTGCCTGAGTTGTTAATGTTAGCCATTCTGACAGGTGTGAGGTGGTATCTCATTGTGGTTTTGATTTGTATTTCCCTGATGATGAGTGAAGTTGAGCATTTTTTCATGTGTTGGTTGGCCATCTGGATGTCTTCTTGGGAGAAGTGTCTATTCATGTCTTTTGCCCATTTCTTCACTGCATTGTTTTCTGGGTGTTGAGTTTGATAAGTTCTTTATAGATTTTGGATACTAATCCTTTATCTGATATGTCATTTGCAAATATCTTCTCCCATTCTGTGAGTTGCCTTTTAGTTTTGCTGATTGTTTCCTTCACTGTGTAGAAGCTTTTTATTTTGGGGATGAGATCCCTATAGTTCATTTTTACTTTTTTTCCCCTTGTCTCTGGAGACGTGTTGAGTGAGTGAGGAATTGCTGTGGCTCACGTCAAAGAGGTTTTTTCCTGCTTTCTTCTCGAGGATTTTGATGGCTTCCTGTCTTACATTGAGGTCTTTTATCAATTTTGAGTTTATTTTTGTGTAGGGTGTAAAAAAGTGGTCCCAGTTCATTCTTCTGCATGTCACTGTCCAGTTTTCCCAGCATCACTTGCTAAAGAGACTGTCTTTATTCCATTGGATATTCTTTCTTGCTTTGTCACAGATTAGTTGGCCATACGTTTGTGGGTCCATTTCTGGGTTCTTTATTCTGTTCCATTGATCTGAGTGTCTGTTTTTGTGCCATGCCATTTTAATTTTTAAAAAATATTTATTTACTTATTTTTGTGAGAGAGAGGGAAAGCGTAAGCAGTGGAGGGGCAAAGAGAGAGAGAGAGAGAGACAGACAGACAGACAGACAGAATCCAAAGCAGGCTTCAGGCTCCGAGCTGTCAGCACAGAGTCTGACGTGAGGCTTGAACTCACGAACTGCGAAATCATGATCTGAACCGCAGTGGGACGCTCAAACACCAGTTAAGTAACTGGGGAGGTCCCTCAGGCACTCTCAGGAGGAAAGAAAATTCCAGGTGAGAAAAGAGCAAAGGGAAGCCCAGGCCAGAAACTCAGCCAGGGGCAGTCACTAGGAGTTAATCCAGTGGTCCTGGCTCCAGCATCCTTAACCATTCCCGACCTCCACCTCCCTGAGGTGAGGAACCTCAGCCAACCTGCTTTGCAGCTCCCTCAGAATCGCTCACGTGATAACATCCTTTTGCATGACAGTGACAAGCCTGGTGGCTGGGGGCTCCTGGAGAGTCTCAGGCTGGTCTGGCGGGCAGGCTTGTGAGTAGAAGGTTGGGACTTTCAGCAACCGTGCCCTCCATCCCACCTCTGGGAGAGGAGAGGGACTACAGATTTCATTAATGGCAGTGATTTGGTCTACAATGATCGTGTCTATGTAAGAAGCCTCCATAGAAGTCCTAAGTGAAGGGGTCTGAAGAGCTGCCTGGTTGGCGAATGTGCGGAGGTGCATGGAAGCTCCGTGTCCCTCCCCTCGTGCCTTGCCCTGTGAATCTCTTCACGTGTGTGCTATCTCATATCCTTTCTTACATGATCAACCAGCAAGTAGAAGTATTTCTCTGACTACTATGCACTGTGACAGCAAATGACCAAACCTGAGGAGGGGGTCACGGAGCCCCCAATTTGTGGCGAAATCGAGCAGAAGTGTGGGTAACGTGGGGACCCACTACTTGAGGCTGGTGTCTGAGGTAGACAGGAGTCTTGTGGGGCCGAGCCCTTATTTGTGGGGTCTGCGTTAGCCCCAGACAGGTAGTAAGCTATAGGATATCCGGCTGGTGTTGGAGAGTTGGTCGGTGTGGGAAGAAACCCACACATGTCTGGTCACAGAAGTGTTCTAGAAAGTTTGAGTGGGTTGGGGCGCCTGGGTGGTGCAGTCGGTTAAGCCTCTGACTTCAGCCAGGTCACGATCTCGCGGTCCGGGAGTTCGAGCCCCGCGTCAGGCTCTGGGCTGATGGCTCGGAGCCTGGAGCCTGTTTCCGATTCTGTGTCTCCCTCTCTCTCTGCCCCTCCCCCGTTCATGCTCTGTCTCTCTCTGTCCCAAAAATAAATAAAAAACGTTGAAAAAAAAAATTAAAAAAAAAAAAAAAAGAAAGTTTGAGTGGGTAGAGGATGAAGCAGAGAGAGTTTCCTTCTCACAGCCCGAATCTCAGAATCTCGGAGTCTCACATGTTCTCCGTCCCCAGCACAGGTTGCTGATTTGATGCGGGGACCCCCACAACATCCTGGTATTTCTTTTGCTGGTCTATCAGTGAGTGTTTGTTCAATGGGCATTTTCTCATGTTCTTTATTTTAGTTTCACCTGAAGGCATTTCTTCTTTTTGTTTTTAAAGTTTATTTTTTTATTTTGAGAGAGACAGAGATAGTGCAAGTGGGGGAGGGGCAGAGAGGGAGAGAGAGGGAGAGAGAGAGGGAGACAGAGAATCCCAGGCAGGCTCTCTGCTGTCAGCTTGGAGCCCAATGTGGGGCTCCAAGCTACGAAACTGTGAGATCATGACCTGAGCCAAAACCCAGAGTCGGATGCTTAACTGACCGAGCCATCCAGGGGCCCCAAAAGGTATTTCTTGATTACTAACTCAGATTAGAAATTGGGTGTCCTCGGACACCAGCCATATTTCATCTGAAGGAAAACGAAGATGCCCACACTGAGCAAGAAGGCAAAACAGGTACCTGTCAGCCTGCTGGGCACGAACAGGAGTTCTTTTTCCATCTGTAGTCGGACGTGGGCGCTTTCATAATCTGCAGGTCTGACTGCCACAAAATCCGCAGCTGCGTGATCTAAGCCCCACAGAAAAGCCTCGGCCTCTGTAGCACTAATCAGCAATTGTTCATCCTGCAGCAGATTAAACAGATGGAAAAAGATCCGCTAAGATTACTAGTTTACTTAGAAAAATAATAACGACATTAAACTCATCAAACAATGTATCTTATAATAAAGTTACCTTTTCCTTTTGTTTATCTTTAAAAAAAATTTTTTTTAATGTTTATTTATTTTTTGAGAGACAGAGACAGAGAATGAGCTGGGGAGGGGACAGAGAGGGAGGGGGAGTCACAGATTCCAAAGCAGGGTCTAGGCTCCAAGTTGTCAGCACAGAGCCCGATGCAGGGCTCGAACTCACCAACCGTGAGATCATGACCTGAGCCAAAGTCAGCCGCCTAAACGACGGAGCCACTCAGGGGCCCCATCCTTTTGTTTATCTTTTTAAATGTCTATTTATTTATTTTTGAGAGACAGAGAGCGAGGGAGACAACGAGCACAAGCAAGGGGGAGGAGCAGAGAGGGAGGAAGACACAGAATTGGAAGTAGGCTCCAGGCTCTGAGCTGTCAGCACAGAGTCTGACACAGGGCTTGAACTCATGAACTGCGAGATCATGACCTGACCCGAAGTCGGATGCTCAACCGACTGAGCCACCCAGGCACCCCCGTTTATCTTTTTTAAATTAAAAAAATTTTTTGTGTACCTTTTTTTAAATTTGTTTTTTAAATGTTAATTTATTTTTGAGAGAGAGAGAGAGACAGCACGCGTGAGTTGGGGAGAGGCAGAGAGAGGGGAACAGAGGATCTGAAGCAGGCTCTGCACTGACAGCACAGAGTCTGATGTGGGGCTTGAACCCAAGAACTGTGAGATCATGACCTGAGCTGAGGTCGGACGCTCAATCCACTGAGCCACCCAGGCGCCCTGTTTATCTTTTTTTTTTAAACGAAGGCCCAAAGCTGTCTGGCCTTTCATATTTAACAGGTGGGTTTTTTGTCTTTCACTACTCCACGTACTTGGGAAATGTCAAAATCAGAATGGGCTGAAGACAGAAGACGTGTGCTGGGCAAAGCTACTGAAATCTCAACAATTCTGGCCTCCTCTGATGGCATGCATTGTTCCACATTTGCTTAAAGTACTTGGGCCCAGAAGTTATGTAGTATGTTAACCTTCCGACCGGCACGGACCCCAGGACACGACATGGACAGCTGTGTCCACACTCTGCTCAGGTTACTGGGTCTTGCCTCCCAGCTCCCTGCATTGCCTGCCTGCCTTTGGGGAGCTTTCCTATCGTTCTTTTTTTAAAAAAATTTTTTAATGTTTATTTATTTAGAGAGAGAGAGGGACAAAAAAAGAGAGACAGAGCACGAGTGGGGGAGGGGCAGGGAAAGACAGAGACACAGAATCCAAAGCAGGCTCCAGGCTCTGGGCTGTCAGCACAGAGCCCCACGCGGGGCTCGAACCCATGAACCATGAGATCATGGCCTGAGGTGAAGCTTAACCGACTGAGCCACTCAGACGCCCGACCTTACCTACTGTTCTAATCCTTGTTTTTTCTCACCCATCAGATGGCGATATTTAACAGAGCTTACCTCTTAGGGTTTTGTGAGAATTATCGGACTTAGAATTCGTAAAAATTCTAAGTACTGGGTCTGCAATCACAAATGTTCGCTGAAGCATATTAATTTTGTTTGCGTAGTTTCCAAATTTTTTCTCCTTTTCTTTCTTCCTCCTCTCCTTCTCCACCTTACTTTTCTCCTTCTTCTCTTTCTCCCCCACCACTTTTCTTTTTTTAAATTGAAGCCCGGTGCCCATTAATGAACAATATCTTTAAAAATGTTTATTTAAAGATAAATAATTTAAAGATAATGCAGGGGAGGGGCAGAGAGGCAGAGAGGGAGACACAGAATCTAAAGCAGGTTCCAACTGTCAGCACAGAGCCCGACACGGGGCTTGAATCCACAAGCCATGAGATCATGACCTGAGCTGAAGTCGCATGCTTAACTGACTGAGCCACCCAGGCGCCCCCTAAGCAACATCTTTTAAACTCCCGTGGAGATTTGCACAGGTGGTTGCCTGGTTACCTGCCTCTTAATATTTCTTCCCAAATATACACAACAGTGAGAAGGGGAAGTGAATCTACGTGGTGACCAAGCTCTCAGCACAACTTGAAGACAGAGAATTCCAAAATCGTCAAAAAAGTAAAAAAAGAAAAAAGTGCCCTAATTTCAGTGTGTGACGTTTCTCGCTTGTGCCCCTCTTCTGCTTCGCGGTGAGCAGAGACAGACTGAGAAATACGGCAGAGAAGACAGAAAAGGAGAGCTACAAATAACCCACAACCTCTGCCAGAAAGACTAAATCCACCTTGAGCATAAAAATACTGAGGAAGGGTCTGAGCAGACAAGAGCGCGCATGGAGTACGGGGACGGGGCCTCACCTTGCACACGATTTCAAAGGGCAGTTTTAGGAACACGTCGCTTCCAGGGGAGAAACACGCAAAAGAGAGGAGAGGTGGCTTTTGGAGAGAAGTGTCATGATTTCAGAAGCCTACAAATCTGTTGCCAGTCCTGCCTTCCAGAAGCGGACCCTGGTTCTCCTCCCGTTCTGGGGGCGCTGCACTCAATGACTTCCTTCCAAGAGCAGGATTACGAGTATAGGTATGTAGCTTCTGGCTCTAGGTCAGGAAAGGGCACCGTGGCTTCCTCCTTGTTTCCTCCTGGATACATGCTTTGGGGGAAATCCGCTGTCGTGTCATGAGGACACTCAAGCAGCTTTGTGGGGAGCCTCTGAACTGAGGCTTCCCGCCAGCAGCTCTCGCTGGGCAGAAGAGTAAACCACCTTGGGAGCAAACCCTCCTGCTTAGTCAAGCTTCCAAATGATTGCGTTCTTGGCCTCGTCTGCAACCTCCAGAGACATCCAGAGTCAGAACAAGCTGAACACTGATTTGTAAACCAATTAGTATGGAACAAGCTTCTGTAAGCCTAGGTAAAAAATTCCATTTTGATTCTGTTGCTTGTGTTTTGGTATCATCTCCAAAAACTCACTACCAGCCCCCATGTCAAGGAGCTTTTTTTGTATTTTTTTTTTTTTTTTTCCCTAGGAGTTTCGTGGTTTCGGGTCTTACATTTAAGCCTTTAATCCATTTTGAGATATGGGTCCACTTTCATTCTTTTACATGTGAATATCTAATTATCCTAGCACCATTTATTGAAGAGACTGTCTTTTCTTCACTGAGTATTCTTGGCTACCTTGTCAAATTAAAAAAAATTTGTTTTGAATGTTTGTTTATTTTTGAGAGAGAGAAAGACAGCATGAGTGGGGGAAGGGAGAGAAAGAGGGAGACACAGAATCCAAAGCAGGCTCCAGGCTTCGAGCTGTCAGCACACAGCCTGACATGGGGCTCGATCCCACAAACCGTGAGATCATGACCTGACTCAAAGTCTGATGCTCAACAGACTGAGCCACCCAGGCGTCCCTCCCTTGTCAAATATTAGTTGACCATATATGCTTGGGTTTATTTCTGTACTGTCCATTCTGTTCCATTGACCTATTTGTCTGTTTTTAATGGAGTACCATGCTGTTTTGATGACTATAAGCTTTATAATATGGCTTGAAATCAAAGAGTGATGCCTCCTGTTTTGTTCTTCTTTCTCAGGATTACTTTGGCTTTTTGCATCTTTTGTGGTTCCACATAAATTATAGGAGTCTTTTTTTCTACTTCTGTAGCAAGTGTCATTGAAACCTTTATAGAGATTGTATCGAATCTACAGATGGCTTTTGGTAGTAGTCACATTTTAATAATATTGACTCTCTCAATCCATGAACATGTGATAGCTTTACATTTGTTTGTATCTTTGATTCCTTTCATCACTGTCATACTTTTCAGAGTACAGGTCTTTCACTTGCTTAGTTAAATTTATTCCTAAGTATTTTAGTGTTCTTGATACTATTGTAAATGGGATCAATTTCTTTACTTCTTTTTCAGGAAACTTATGGCTACTGTAAAGAAACACTACTGATTTTTGTATGTTAACTTTGTATGTTGCAACTTCACTAAATTCATTGATTAGGTCTACCAATTTTTTGGTTGAGTCATCAGGATTACGTCTGTAGGGCGCCTGGGTGGCTCAGTCGGTTAAGCTTCCAACTTCAGTTCAGGTCATGATCTTGCGGTTCATGAGTTCAAGCCCCACATTGGTCTTTGTGCTGACAGCTCAGAGCCTGGAGCCCATTTCGGATTCTGTGTCTCCCTCTCTCTCTCTGCCCCTCCCCTGCTCATGCTCTATCTCTCTTTTCTTCAAAAATAAATAAACATTAAAAAAAAATTAAGAAAAAAAATCATAGCATCTGCAAGTAGGGACAATTTTACTTTTTTTTTCCAAGTTGGAAACTTTTTATTTCTTTTTCTTGCCTGATGGCTCTAGCTAGCCTTCTAGTACTATGTTGCATAGGAAAGGTAAGAGTGGGCAGCATCATCCTGCTCCTGATCTTAGAAGAAAAGCTTTCAACTTTTCACCATTGAGTATGATGTTAGCTGTGGGCTTGTCATAGATGGCCTTTATTACATTGAGGTACATTCTTTCTATGCCTAATTTATGAGTTTTTATCATGACTGTTTTTCAGATGTAACTTTGAAGTGTTTAGACCTCTTCTATACAATGTTTATGCATTCAAATGTGGAGAGGATTATGCCATTTTGCAAAGACTATGTTAAAAAGACAGCTTTCCTAGAGCCCAAATGTCCATCGATGGATGAATGGATAAAGAAGATGTGGTATATATATACAACGGAGTATAACTCAGCAATCAATAAGAATGAAATCTTGCCATTTGCAACTACGTGGATGGAACTGGAGGGTATTATGCTAAGTGAAATTAGTCAGAGAAAGACAAAAATTATATGAGGACTTTAAGAGACAAAGCAGATGAACATAAGGGAAGGGAAACAAAAATAATATAAAAACAGGGAGGGGGACAAAACAGAAAAGATTCATAAATATGGAGAACAAACTAAGGGTTACTGGAGGGGTTGTGGGAGGGGGGATGGGCTAAATGGTAAGGGGTAGTAAGCAATCTACTCCTGAAATCATTGTTGCACTATATGCTAACTAATTTGGATGTAAATCTAAAAAATAAAAGTAAATAAAATAATAAATAAATAAATAAATAAATAAATAAATAAATATTTTTCTTAACGTGTAATTTGAGTCTAAATCATGAGAAAATACCAGACAAACTCAAGTTGAGAGACTTATTTAAAATAACTAGCTAGTATTCTTGAAACTTGTCAACATCAAGAAGGATAAAGACAGACTGAGGAACTTTCCCAGATGGGTGGAGACCAAGGAGATATGAAGCCTCAAAGCAACATAGGATCCTGGACCACAAAAAGACAATTGTGAAAATTTGAATCAGGTTTGTAGATTAAGGTATTTTTATCAATATTAATCTCCTGGTTTTAATAGTTTATGGCAGTAATTTGTTTATATTTGGGGAAGCTGGGTGAAGGGTGTATGGAAACTGAGTAACATTTCCGTAATTCTTTTGGAAATATAAAATTATTCTAAATAAAAACTATTTCCCTCCAAAAAAAAAAAAAAAAGACAGCTTTCCTTCATACTAATCCTCTCAATTTTACTCCTTCCCACTTTCAAAAAGAAACAAAAACAAAAACAAAAAAAAACACACCAGAATAATCAGAATAGGTGCTCCTGATTTGGAAATTCCAAAGAATTCAACTGGAAAAGGTACCTTCGTGCTCTAAATTTACTCTTACAATTTTCTGTAATCAAAGTCCTTAGAATTAAAAGGTGTTTGAATTAAAAATTTGTATGCAATGTAGCAATTCATCAAAATGCCCTAGAAATAGATTCTAATCACCATCATTACATAACGACAAACATTTCTAAACGCTTCAACTTTTGCAGCAAATACCACCAGAGACATTAAGTTGCACTCATGTATCAGATATAAGTACCAAACTATATGTGCATTTCAAGTCTGCAAGGCACCCATATACTTAAAATGTGTATGGAGACTTACTGTATGGCTTTGCTGCTTTATTGGAGGATGTTAATCTTACGGTACTTTTCCACCCAACGGTAGGCAGACGTCTTGCTCCAAGGGGCTTTAGATAGCTGCCACTAAATTATTTTAATTGCTGTCTTGAAGTTAACAAGTGTTATAATGAAATAATCTACCTGATGCTAAATAAAGGTTTTAGAATGTCCCCCCACCCCAAAGGAATTTTGTCAAATGTTTTTCTTGTATCTGTTAGGATTTCCTTTTTATTTATTTATTTATTTATTTTTAAATTTTTTTTTAACGTTTATTTATTTTTGAGACAGAGAGAGACAGAGCATGAACAGGGGAGGGGCAGAGAGAGAGGGAAACACAGAATCTGAAACAGGCTCCAGGCTCTGAGCTGTCAGCACAGAGCCTGACGCGGGGCTGGAACTCATGGACCGTGAGATCATGACCTGAGCCGAAGTCGGATGCTTAACTGACCGAGCCACCCAGGCGCCCCTAGGATTTCCTTTTTAAAACTTTTTATGTATGTATGTATGTATTTACTTATTAAAAAGGCTTTATAATGTCTCCCCTCCCCACCCAAAAAAATGGAATTTTGTCAAATGTTTTTTTCTGTATCTATTAGGATTTCCTTTTTAAAACTAGAATTTCCTTTTTAAAACAAAACTAAAAGGCAACCAACGGAATGGGAAAAGATATTTGCAAATGACATATCAGACAAAGGGCTAGTATCCAAAATCTATAAAGAGCTCACCAAACTCCACAACTGAAAAACAAATAATCCAGTGAAGAAACGGGCAGAAAACATGAATAGACGCTTGCCCAAAGAAGACATCCAGATGGCCAAC